AGTTGTCTTGCTCAGTTCTACGCAACGAAACGATACTCTGAAAAGAATGTACTAAATTTTAATAAGTCATTTGTTTGTGAATAGAGTACTCAATATATAATAACTAATAATATCTAAATATTTAATAAATATAAAGATATATTTAGATACAAAAACCATTAATTTGACTTAACTATCGTCTTTTTATTGAGTAAATATTTAGTTTAAACTGTAAGTTTAGTTTCACTGTAACCGTTTAGTTGATACTATTCAAATAAATATTTATTAAAATTTAGTACAATTTTTTTCTCAGTGCAGCTCCACTCCTTTTGACGGTAAGGCGAAATAGAAGACTCGATATTTCCTGAAAGGTTCTATAAAAATATAGTGCGATAGTGCACTACTCGGGGTACTGAGGATCATAATTTTGCAGGTAACAGTGGTTTTGTGTAAACCTCGGATTTGCGCCGTTCGCGGAGTTCCAAAGGCCGATCGGCGGGAATCGATAACGGTGGCCGAACGACGACCTCTGCCATAAAGCCTCGGAAGATGGCGGCGGCAGCGGTGGCAGCGGTGCCGGCGGTGGCGGCGGCGAAGACACGGTGGTGAAGGAGGCGGTGTGGCGGTGGAAAGTAGCCAAGTAATGAAGTCGCGGCGGCAGTCGGCCGCGGTCTTTTGAACGATTCGTGGAACTGTATAAGTACCGTATGAGAACAGCGCGCTCCGAAACTCGCGCCCATCAGACGATCCTGCACTCAGGAATGAGGTAACCGCCGGCGAGACGGGTTTGATTCTTAGGCATTCGCAACACGTAGAAACTATCACCGGCGAACTACTTGGCAGGTGAGCGTCACGTTCTTTCGATCGATTCTTCGATTCCTGCCTGTACGCTGTGGTAACGCCATGAGAACTTTGTCTGTATCCTGGGTCTTTCCCGCGTCGATATTTTTGGATCATCATTCATGCGCATGAGATCTTGACTGTGACGACTGTGATAAATTCGTGGAATAGTAGGATTTCGGGACAAAAAGATGTAAAGCAAGTCACTTTATAAAAAAAGATATAGTAGTTGCGTAAAGCAAGCGTAATTAAGGGACCGACATATATATATATATATATATATTCCTTGTTCTATATCATTTCATTTTGTTCTATTTCTATCCCCTTATAGATAAGAAACATGCATGTGCGTGAGTGTGTATATATACATCCACACAAAATTAAGAAAAGTAAAAATGTAATTACGAAAATGAATGATTATCAAAATTAAGTTAAATACTGTTGTTAAAATAAAAATTGTTTTCCGTTTCTCATATTTGTTCAGATCTGCAAGTTCGTGCAATATGTTGTACAATATATAGTATTATATATTATTGTTATTGCACAATATATAGTGTTATATATCATTATTACTGCTATAATCATGCTTTTAACATTATCGCTATTACACGATATTACAATTAAATAGAAGATCATCAATTTGTCTATATCTCGATTATTTCCCGATGTCACTAAAATGAGTCACGCGTACGAGTATAATATTTCCTTGAATGTAGCAGCTGCGAAAGAAACCACATAGAGTACTTCTATGGTCATGTTCGCAACTTCTATGGCCATGGCGTCTTTATCATTATACCAGTACATTTGTATGTATGATGTAACGGCATACTGATGTTTCGGATGATCGCCGGCAGACGTTCGCACGTGTATCTTCCGCTATATAGTCATAGAAAAGACGGCGTTATCGCTGCGCAAATTTATCGAAGCGCAATAAGCTGACACAGGTGTGAGACTATAGACGTATCGGATGTACAGACGGAAAGAGAAGATAAGTTGGCTTTTGAGGCAGGTAGCGGCTTTCGGAACCGGATAATAAACCAGTTTAATGCAGATTCTACGATTAAAACTCGTAATATATCACGCTTCTACGAAGGATGATGTCTATCATCGGATTCTCTCATACTTGCTCAAAATGTAAATCTTTCCGAATTGGGTATACTTCTCGAATACTGATACCAATATTTTGCAATTATAATACGTTAACACATTCTTTAACGTGTGAAATATCACGCCAACGTGATGCGGACCATTCGCAATGACTGATTCAAAGATACAGAAAATTGCTGATTCGTAATATCTGAAATGGCAATTTCAAAATTGATATTGCTTTTGCAGGAAAATACACTTGGGCATTCATTCTTTTCTAAGAAGTTGAATCCTATAGCGAAAAGTTTTTACGTCTATGGTTTGTCCTATAAATGCCAAGTCGGCATTCATCGAATATATTTAGCGACTTCCTGTACAGGTATCTTTACCATCTCCCTAAGTATCTCATGTCATTTATATCTAGCTTATCCTGAAATTTCTCGCGATTTTCTTAAACGTTTTTTATTGTTTGTTTTTAACTTTTATAATTTTAATGGAACTAGTAGAGAGTTTTTGTAATACCGTTTATCCAGATACGATGAGCGTTAAGAGGTTATCAACTAATTAAGAGAAAGATAACGTAACTTTAGCATTTATCTGAATCACGTTATTGCAAAAATTCCCTAATGACTGGCTACATATAATCATAGCTTTAACGAATTCGGTTGGACGCTCTAGTTCGCACCAGTGCGTATTAAAGCCGCGTGCAAATATTTCAAATTATAAAATATAGATTTTACTTTAACAGCGCAATAAAATGTATTGAGGATTTTATAATTTAATCCGTTTTTGTATTTATATCAAACACACATTTATATCAATCTGTGTACGCGTAACGGTTTTAATGTGCACCGGTGCGCACTGAGTGCATCCAATCAAGTTCGCTATTTGGTAAATATTTGTCACATCTGTCCGTTGTAAGAAAAAATACTGGGATTAGTTATTAATTGTAAATTCTCTCTCTCTCTCTCTCTCTCTCTCTCTCTCTCTCTCTCTCTCTCTGTCATTTGAGGAATAATGTATAGTTTATGCAGTTTCAATACTGACCTGTGTAATTCACATAACTGCAACGTCTGCCTTGTTTTCCACATTTAGTTCGACGTTTTTTTATGAACCGTTTATCTTTGACCCGAGTATAATAAAAGTTTACAGTTATGAACGCAACCCTTCAAGTGGTAACTTCTGATAAGATAGTCGCCATATCAACTTGCGTTTCTTCAACGACGTTATTTGCAATTTGATGCGGTACTGTTGGATTATCAATCGGTTCCTTAACGTGTGATTTACTTTTTACCGCTTTCAAGTAAGAATTTATTCTTAAGGGAAATTTATGTCTTTATGTTATACAAATGCCGTTTTATCTGTTTTTATTTTTAATTGTTTAAAATGCAATTATTTTATTTGTTATATAAGCTTACTTAAAAACGTAAGTGTTCAATATTCGCTGTTTTATTTTACGACGACCGACGTTGCGTAACGTTAGTATTCACGTGTTAAGCACACGAGACTTTTTTACGATTTTGCGCAAATGATTATCATATTTCTCGCGTGACCGGCGAACACGCTTGAGACAAGATGCAAAAGATGCTCTTGTAATTTCGAAAAGTCCTCCCTCTTTGCGCACCTAAAGTTAATCTTTTCAAAACTTGGCGACGAGATGATTAACGTCACATGCAGTTAAATCTACTTGATTTTACAGATAATATATGAAACGTATTTTTACCGTCCAGTTAGCTTGGAAGGAAGTCAAGATCAGCTCTGATATCGTGTTTTAGGCATAAGATTAATCGCAATTAACAGAGAATTAAGTCCTAAGTTTAATGACCGACTTAGCAATTGTCAGATGAGTAAAGGAATCAACTAATGACGTTAATTGCCCGAGCTTATTACGGCAACTTGAGCTTATCTGACAGTTTATCTACTCTCGTAATTCATCTTTTTCTTCATTAGGTTACCCGCGTAATGAAGTCTTTCGATATATCATTGTGGGATAAATAAGACAAACGGATGTTGTTTAATCTCGAGTCGGCCGCATACAACAGATTAGATCATAGACCTTGTTCTACTAGCTTTCTATTCCGTCGTGGGGGACTGTGAGGACTTTTTTGTGTACATCGATCCCCAATTCATCCATTTGATTATCTCGTGGGCTTAAGTGCCATTTAATGTAAAAGTTCCGTCACGGCCAATTATTTTCAGATCGCAGTAACATCGATAGTGAGAACAAATTATCACTTATGATAATGTTCGGCAATCTTGTGTGCTTTAAAGTATATATCGATCTTAAATTACCACTAAAGCAAATAGATGGAAGATCATCGCGTTTCATTCGTCCGTTCGTTCATAGATGAAGTTAACGACTGCGGGTCTTTTCGTCTCGTTTCAAAAAAGCGTTTAGAGAGTTATCTCGCCGATGGTTAATAGCTATGTTTATACTGTGCGACTTACGCGATCTATACGGTATGTGCCTTTGTGTAATTTATAGGATAAACAAGGACAGCTATTGTATAGATCGCGAATTAAGCGCACGGTGTAAATGTAGCCATTAAGCCGTTCCTGTTATTATTTTTATTCTTATATCCAACATTATTCGACAGTCGAAAACTGCTATCATGATAGTGTATCAATTCTATTATACGTCAATCAAGACTTACACTTAGAATGTGTTGCAGAGAAATTCTAGCAAAGCTGACGTTATTTTGACGCCAATTTGTGCTATTTTCGCAGAAATACGGTATATTCGCTTTTGTGAATTATAAATATAAGTATAGCGGTATATCGACGGCAATGATTATCGTGTCTTCTTGTATTTTCATGTTTTTCTCATAATTATATACGTATATCGTTCATTTATTACAACAATGACATAATTCAAAATTGACTTGAAAATGACGACAAACGTCAGCTTATTTGTTGAGATGTGATTTCAGCGCGAAAAAGTCATTAGCTTATTTTAATACATAGAAAATTTGCACTCTGCTATGAATTCTCGTCGCATTTCTTTTAAATCTTGTGCATTATCTGTTCGATTATATTCCTTGAAAATAGCAATCTTTTATCCGCTAAAATAGCAGGAAAGCATAGAGTAAATATAACAATGAAACATAATTAAAAAAAACAAAACTAATTTTCTACTTGCCCGTAGAAAAATTTCAAGAATATTCACGTCAATTCTCAAAATACTGTTCGACAGATTTTTCAAGATGTGATGCGTTGAAGAGTTCTTCTCTGAAAACGCCAAGCGTGTAAACTTCTCTTTCGTTGCATCTACCCTTTGCCTCTTCTAATAATTAAAGTGTCAGATTATCGCGTTTTATCAACGTCTACACATATGCGCGATTGTTTACTTTATCCAAGCAAAGTCGAGTTCGCGAACCCGGAAGTGGTAAAGTTTAACGCTCTTTCGTATCACATGTACAATACAATCTCGTTTAACATAATTGAATTGTGGCGGACTCAATGCAATTTAAGTATCTAATTGTACTTGACATTCTAATTCGAGCCTCAACATGTGAAAAAGCCCAAAATTTTACACAGGAATCTAATCGCTATTTTAAATTTTCTTACATTTCTTTTCATGTTTATGTGTTTATGGCATTATTTTTCTAGTGTACACATTGCATTATGACTGATAATTATTCAAAAAACGGTAACGTAAATTAATATTAATAATATAAATATTAATATATAATACAATATTAAGAGTAAAAATGATATTAGTATACTATCAATATTAGCATGAATAATATTAATATAAACATTAATATTTATATTAATATATAAAACCAAAAATTTCTAATTCGAAATTTTGCATGTGCCTACATTTTCAACAATACTTTCATTAAGGAAGTGACAATATGCGTAAGTTATATAAATAATAAATAAACGAAAAATAAAAAAACTTTTTTTTTTTTAAATATTTTATTCAAAAGAAATCTAATTGCATAAGAAAGATTTCACATTTTTTGCTCATTTTCTACTTAATTGTTTAGATTTATTTATTTATGTTGTCATTTTTTAAATAAAGGCATTGTTAAAATGTTGGGCTTTTACAACAATGCAAAGTTTGGGCAAAACATTCATAAAAAACTTTTATTTTCTGCGATTTTCGACAAGTAGAAGCAAAAAATAAGCCTCTACAAAGACTTTTTTCTTAGTTTATCCATTTCTCCTAAAACTTTAATTTGATATATTCTTGTGAAAAATATGATATAAAAGTAATAAAAAGAATGACGAAATAATTTAAAAATATATTTTTCTTATCGTAAAAAAAAATAATATAAAAGTTATTTTTTTCTAGTTATAATTTAATACTAATATTATTAATTTATTAATACTAATATTATTAATTTATTAATACTAATATTATTAATACACTAATAATTATCAATATATTAATACTATCATTAATATTAATATTAATATTAACATTGTATTATACTAACATTAATAACAACAATATTAATTTATATTACTATTTTTCGAATAATTATCAATCATAAGTCATGACGCATATTTATGATGAATATTCAAAGGGAAACGCATCTTGAATATGTTCCGATACTTCAGCAAGTGCAGATTGGTAGGCGTTTCTGTCCGCGTGCGTACACACATTAAGTTTTTCATTTCTTCGATTTATCTTAAATTGAAGACCGTGACTTATAACAATGATGATAATAACAAAACATTAGAATAATGTCAAGTGAGTCATAATGTCCTTTTACAGTAGCGCGACAAATCCATATATAGTCGGTACAAACGCGTGAAGTAAACCGTAACAATTTTGCGTAACAAATTTGCACATCTATTCACTTGTCATAAGCGAAAATAACGATACTGTCGATTGTTGGCGGGAGTTATCTTACATGTGCCGTTTTTTTACATCACAGACGTTTCAAAGTTCAAGGTGTGTCCAAAGATAAGAATATACGTATAATGAACTTAATCTGTACAAAATATTGAGAGGAATTCTGTCAATTTACTGTAAAATTTATTGTGAAATCGTAATATTTTAAAATAACGCAATAACGTGCTCAATATAATGTAATAGGTAGAATGATAAAGTATATAAATAAAATTTCTGTTATAATAACGTGCTTATATAAATTTGCTAAATTCGTTTTAAATTTTTGCAAAACAATGTAATCAAAATATTGATTGTTTTATTGTGTACATATTTCAGGTGACGCGCAAATAATACATCAACAACATGCCTACAAAGGTAAGCAGCCATCTCGCAATATAACTCTGTCATTGCATATATTTATAATTTATTCACATCTTCATTTGCGTCATAATTATCTTGCGCAACTCATTCACGCTACTAATGTCATCTCATCTCATGTCATTACAATAAACACTATCCATTATATCTTATTTTTAACATAGACCAACGAGAGGCCGCCGACAGAGTTGGATACCTTCTTACCCCAAGATGGATCCAATCTTAAGGATGGCATTCTATCCGCCAAGTAAGATTTCGATTAATTTCATTGAAAACATTAATCGAGAGAACAAAATGTGATTTATAATGCGCAAACGTATAAAATGCTAATTGCTAAAAGTTTTGTATTCATTTAACTTTCAGATATATTGTACAAGTTGCTCCACGTGAGGTTGAAACTGCACTGGGCGATGAGAAGAGTTTCGATCCCTTCGCGGAACGCAAAGTCGACAATCCGACAACGTAAGAATCAACATCTTTCTTTTAATAATAATCTCGTATATACACACACGTATATACACATAAATTTTGTTTTATCTTTGTGTTTTTACTCTTTTATATCTATGAAGCAAATTTGGTGATATATACTAAATATTTTTATCTTAGTCGTTAATTTTTTTAATGATTTGGATTGACGTGATTAATGTGTGAGCAACTATAATATATTATGATGTCTTCAGGGATTGCGATACGTTAACGCACTTATTAAAAGCTTCTCTTGGCACTGGAATACTAGCTATGCCCATAGCTTTTAAGAGTGCTGGATTGCTTTTGGGTATCTTTGCCACGATACTCGTTGCATTCGTATGCACGCATTGCGCATATATTCTGGTGAGTTCCTAAAGATAAAGATTCGTATTTAGTCGTAGTTACCACTATAGATAGCTTAATTTTATCTTTCATAAGCTAGGATTGATTAACGTATCTTGTTTTCAGGTCAAATGTGCGCATGTGCTCTATTACAAAACTCGAAAAGCAGAAATGGGATTTGCTGAAGTTGCCGAAACAGCTTTCAGTATCGGACCTCAGTGGGCGAGAAAGTTTGCGAAACCTTCCAGGTTATCAACTTTGTTTTTCGAACATATGATTAATTCTTTAGCAACTTTTTTGATTAGCGAATTTCTCTTCTGTTTATAGATATCTCATACAGATTAGTCTATTTACTACATATTACGGTACCTGCAGTGTGTACGCAGTAATCGTGGCCGCTAATATCAAGCAGATTATCGAGCATTATCAAGATGTTAATGTTGGCGAATACAACATCCGTTTGATCACTGCTTATTTGCTGATTCCGCTGATCCTTCTTAGTTGGATACCCGACTTGAAGTATCTCGCGCCAGTTTCGATGGTGGCGAACATTTTTATGGGAACAGGACTGGGAATAACATTTTACTATCTCGTTTGGGATTTGCCGCCATTGTCTTCAGTGCCTTTAGTAGCTACAATCGAAAGCTTCCCGCAATTTTTCAGCATCACTATCTTCGCTATGGAAGCGATTGGCGTAGTGATGCCTCTGGAGAACAGTATGAAGACGCCGCAACACTTTGTAGGAATTTGCGGAGTTCTCAACAAAGGAATGTCTGGTGTTACACTTGTATATATTTTTCTTGGATTTCTCGGATATGCTAAGTATCAGGATGAGACGCTGGGTAGCATCACTCTAAATCTACCAACAGAAGAAATGTAAGAGCTTAATTTGGCAGAATTGTAAAACTTTTATTCTTATAATAGCATGTATCATTCAATTTGATTTTCTATATCTCTGTCAATAATTACTTTTCAGAGCGGCACAAGTTGTGAAGATACTGATTGCCTTAGCCGTTTTTTGTACTTTTGGTTTACAATTCTACGTGTGCCTCGATATTGTATGGAACGGTGTAAAAGATCGTTTTGAGAAGAGGCCGCTTTTAGCCAACTATTTCGTAAGGACGGTGCTAGTAATAGGCGCAGGTATGTGTATATTCAGATCTTATATATATTTTAAAAATATCTTTTAAGTACAAAATTGATGATGTATTATGGAATAATCATTCGTGTTGTACAGTTCTCCTTGCCGTGGCCGTGCCGACAATCGAACCATTCATCGGCCTAATTGGTGCATTTTGTTTCTCCATTTTGGGCCTTCTTATTCCGGTCTTCATCGAAACCGTAACTTATTGGGATGTCGGCTTCGGACCGGGAAACTGGGTAGCCTTGAAGAATATAATTATATGCGTGATAGGTCTGATGGCATTAATATTTGGATCACGTAGTGCTATAATGGATATAGTAAAATTGTATAATGCTTGATAGACAAAACATTTTCCATTTTTTATGTAGTACAAATATTTCTACAATGTACAACAAAATTTTCTATCAGATCTATCCATGGTATGACTAACGGTATTAAATATATATTATATACTCGCAGACAGATTTTATTGGAATTTTACAGAATCGAATGTATTTAAATTGTATATAGGTCAAATTTTCTGATATTTCTTTGAGATTTCAGACTTTCATAAATATAAATTTTTTTAGATCCGCTGATTTTAATAGGAATATCTTTTTACGAAAATTCAGTGTATTTTTTTCTATACTTGTATAGATAGAAAAACTTTTTTAAATAATTTTAAAAATAACATATGGATATTTTATAGGACAGAAATTAAAAGCAGATTTAGATTTAGGGGCAACAGCAGTATTCATTTAAGAAAATGCAAAATAATGAATTATCGTGAGCATAATGTACGAATGTATCCTAAAGAATGCGTGAAGTTTCTGTAGGAAATAATTTTTATATTATTGGAATGTTTTGTTATTTAACTTTACATAAAAGTTCTGCATTTATACAAAATTGTAATGAAAGAAGTTTTAGGCTAATTTATCAATTTATAGAAAATATTTTTACAATATAGAAAGATATGAATAAAGCGTGTAGTGCGTAATTTTATTAATTTCGCTAAAATGTTGCAATTTAATATTGTATTAAATTTGTATTTTAATATTGCAAAAATGTTATATAAAAATTAATATATATTTTATGAAAAAGATGTTTTAAGGATTTGGAACCATTTAAAAACTACAGAGTTTGCATGAAACGAATGTGTGTTATCTGTGGAAAAAAAATATATTGCTCAAGCAAAGTGTATCACACAGCCTTCCTGCATTGCATTTAGAATTAACATCAAAATATACTTTTCCGAATTGATATATGTATGGTGTAATAAGACAAGGCGTAACGTTGCATATAAGAGTGATAGCATACTAAAAACAACCAATCAAATTTGGGTCCAAATGCAATTTCCTGCATATATAATAGCAGTAGCATACTTAGAACAGCTAATCAAATTTGGGTCCAAATTCATTCTTCTACTACACATTTGCGGGAATGTTTCGCCTTGTATTTTTGCATCATAGATTATAGGAGACATAGGAGACACATAATACACTGTTCCTCCTCTTTTACAAGCGGATAAAAGTTTGTATCGATATAAATGTGTGAAACTTTTGCTATTTGTAACGCATGGCACTGGCTGAAGTTACATAAAATATAAATGATTTTACATTTTGTAAAGACAGCTTTATTCCTCAAATCATTTTTCCATTTTTTGTCTTACATGAAATATCATGTATGTAATATTGTAATATGTATTTTAAGATTTTACATAAAAATATCAATGCTATAATAGAATTTATAATGTTTTGTTATCATCCACCAATTAAAAGATAAATAATTTGAACATTTTATAAATAAAACATTCTTTTATTTTTTTTCTTGTAAACTTATAAGCTATATTTATTACATAAGCGCATTATTAAAATATAAAATGTTAAGACTATACAATAGAGTAACTGTAATCGTTTTTTCAATATACATTATATGGAGTATACACATCAGGTATCTTGTGAATGCTCCAAAAAAGATCCAATTAATATCAGCATAACAAATAAAATTTATTTCTCTAGCGGTGCATAATTAAGTAATTTTTCAATTAAATCTACATGTCCAAGTAACATCCTACGACAGCAGTATCTTTTCAGACCTAGTGCGTCCAAGGCATCTCTGTAACATATATATCATCTTTATAATTATACTTTATCTTTTTGTCATTTTAATATATTATATATATAGGCAAATTTTTTAATCTATTGATCGATCAACTGCATTATGTGTAAATACAGTTTTTGTAGATTAAAATTGCATTTGTGCTTAATGCGATTACTTAATCATTAGCTGCATTCAGCAGAACATTTATTTTGTAACTCTGTTGGAAGTTCTCAACAATCATAAAACGGTTACACAAAACTGTCGTGTTCTGCTGAATACAGTCATTTGCTGCGTTCAGCAGAATATTTATTTGGAAACTATTAAAAGTTTCTTCACTGAGATAGAATAATTTCTCTATATTTAAAAGTATAATAAAAATATAAAGGAATACAGTTGCAAAGTAAACATTCTGCTAAACGCGGCTAATGAATTAAAAATGAATACTCGTTTATTATCGTTAAAATAAAACAAAAGATGATTTAATTAGTAAAAAAGGCACTTGTTAACTAACGATTCAGTTTCGAGGTTAGAAATAAAACAAGACGCTCTTACCCTTCGGTATACTCCGCTTGAAGGAGTCCCAGATATGCTTCCCATTTATTTCCAATGACTTTTCCGCAGGTGAAGCATCGCACAGGAATGATCATCGTGATAACTCTTGATTTGCAGCTTGATTTATTATATTTTTCACAACGACAATCCAAATTCCATGCACGTGGAACGTCCTAAAGCGTGGTTACATTGAAGACGCCATTGCAGTGCAGTCAAGTGCAGTTAAATTTGCGGAAAGGTGCGACAAAGGGTTGCCACACCATTTTCAAAACTAGAAATTTACAGGAGATCAAAAATCCCGGACTTTCGCTTTCAAGCATGCAAAAATGCGCATTAGGCTGGTTTGACTGCATTAAAAAAATTGCTAATTGTAATATTTAGATCTAATCATAACCTAATTTCTTAATTATCGTAATAAAATATTTTACGTAACTATTAATTAAAAGTGTTACATTTTCTATTTTAAATAAATAATTGTAATTTGTAGAAAATCGACAAGAAAAGCAAAATGATCTAGTAAATATCTAGTAATAATAAGTTTTGCAGTTGGCAATCCAAATGATCAAGCAAATTGACAAAAATGGCGAGGTGATCGAATATGATCGCTTGAGTTTCTATGAATTGTTGAGAAATTTTTTTATTTTGTCATCATTCATCAGACGGAACAAAGGTGCGAATGCCTTTCGAGAGAACGGCTAGATGTATCGACAAGGTACTATAATCACATGTCACATATCTCGGTGTTTCATTCATAGCCAATTTTATTTAAAATCGTCTTAAATACAGTCTTAAGATGATTATAAGTCAGTAATCATCGTAATCACGCTTATATAAAACGCTCATAAGCCAATCACATTTATAATTATTATATTTATATTTCTTAATTTTATTATAATAAGATGGTTTTGAAATAAGAACGCATTATGTGAATATCGATCGTAAAAAAACTAAAAAAGGGAGTGATAATTGTAATATTCTTGAGCATTGTTGGCATGAGCGCAAGTAAAGACTTTTCTCAAAAGGGGCGACAATACAGCAATGCTCACTCTATTGTTTCGGAAATTTTGAATAAACTCCAGGTTGAAAAGAAATTGTAGCTCGGCGCGGCGGGAGGTTTAAATCTGATGTCCTTTTTAGAAGTAACCTTCTTTCTCTCTTCTCGAAGAGGAAAAGAGACGAGGAATGAATGCTGCATATTTAACTGAAAAAAAAAAACAGACCTTTTACTTTAAAAATGTGTTATGCGAGAAAGCAATATTTTAAAAAACAATACTATACATATAATTGCGTGTATTTAAAAAAATTAAAGTTTTAAATTAGTTAATGTTCTTCTCATTCTTTTGCGAGTGTATAATTGGATTATTTTATATAACGTACATATATATATTTTCGAGAAAAGCCGAGGAATATTTCTCTAGGTCGTTCGCGATCATTAGTATGATTAAAAATTAGATTAACTCATAATAATATAACACTTATTTTATTATTCATTATTATCCTGATGTTTCGTAAACATTGGTAGATCGATCTATGGTCGTGTTTTTACCAAATTAAATTAATAGCTCACAAGGAGACTGTCATCGATTTAATTAATGTACTTTAGAGTATGTTGTAGTAACAGAGCATCGAAAAAGTATTAGATCCATATTTTTTTTATCTGCTATTATCTCATAGTTTAGAAACGAAATTAAAAACAGTTTAGGAACAGATTGAAAAGATAACGGATTTTTTTTATTTTGAGCTAATATCTGCAAAATTATGAGATATATGTATAAAAAAAATGTCTTGCACAATTAAAAGTTGTATAGTACTTCATATTTTTAATATGACGCTGTAAATTTACTCCTAGGGATTAATTACGACCCCTAAACTTTGAGATAAGCGATTAAATAAATAAATATATATGTAGTCTAATATATATTATTTAACGCCCCACAACATATCCAAATATAAGCGCATCAAAATCGATTCCCTTAATTGTTACGCAGTCATTTGATAAAATTCGTGAATGAATCAATCAATCCATGAATCTCACTATTAATTCATTTCAATGAATTAATCATTTCATTTTGTGAATCATTTCATCCTTGTTTACCAGTTATGTTAATCATCCGTCTCTCGCTAGAAAATTCCGTGTCGGCAGAAATTTGTATTGATGATCGATAATTCATACTTGCATGGCAACGAGCATGGTCCACGTCGCCATTTCTTCGCGTCGAGTACTGAACTCCGAACAATCCGAACCGAGCTCCGAAGTGGAGCCGCGTCGCGGAACAGCTGCGATCGAAGGGGCCGCGGTGGCTGGCGGGAGCGCACGCTTTCGCGAAAAGGGGGGCGACCGTCGACCGACGGAGCTGCGTGGTAAAGGGGGATAGGAGGAACGAAAAGAGAAGGAGGAGGAGGAGGAGGCCGCGTTGCGATCCGGATACTTAGTAGTGGTGATAGGCACGCACACACTTAGTGGAGAGGAAAGAAGCCCGCGATAGGAGAGAGAATGAGGAGAGAACGAGAGCTCGCGTCGTAAACACGAATGCACGAACGTACGTACGCACGCACGCACGCACGCATGCACGCACGAACGCACGCACGCACGAACGCACGCACGCACGCACGCACGCACGCACGCACGCACGCACGCATTCATTCCCGCACGTACATACGGCACGGCCAGCCGGAGCAGATGGAGTGGACTGTGAGCTTTCTCCTTTATCGTCCGCTGAATGGAGGCATGCTGTGAATACTGTACGGTGCACCGCCACGCTCCTTGGATCTTCGCTGTAAGAATCGCGCGTCATCGGGCACGAGTGGCCGAGGGGGGAAAGAGAGCGACGGTTCGTCCATCTGTCTATTCGTTTGATTCGCGGCGGCGAGGTGGCCGCGACGGAATTTCCGCGCGCCGAATAAAAACGGCGGCGCGACGCCGCGACGCGACGCGACGCGACGCTACGCGGTTAAATTACGCGCGGTGACAGCGCGAATCAGTTGGGTTATGTCGGCGGTCGTCGCCGTATCCCGACATTCTCGACGTCCCCGCGTTCCGCTCGCACGCCTTCCGGACGCGTTCCATTCGTCGACGAGCGTTCCTTAGGCTCGCCTTGGACCGAGCCAAGTCGAACGGAATCAACGGAGTGGAGCGTCGCGGTGCCCGCGTCGCGCGCCTTCCGTCGCGTCGGCCTGTTGTCAAAATCAGCTGCCATTGCTGACTTCGGTGCTCCTTCTCTTTTCTCTATTTTCATTCGCCATGAAAGTCGTCGCGTCGGCGATCTCGTTGTGCCGTAGCTCTTGATTCCCCTGAACGCTCCTCTTTCGCGATTCGCTCTTCTTCGTTTTGTCTTTTCGTTATCGTGACCTCGGAGAAAAAAGTGCCAATTAAGCATCGCGGAGATTTTCTTTATGTACGATCGATTTATTGTCAAGGTATATTGTTTTGCCTAGATTTGCAGCCGTTGAATCTTTTATTCTTTCGGAGAATTCATTTTCGTGAGATAAACGCGAGAATGTGGTGTATTATATATGTAAAGCTTGACAAAGAGAGTTTAGACTGACAAAGAATTTATTGAATGAATATTAATATATGTTTAGGAGCATATATTTATTTATATTCATATAATTCACTTAGTTTTTATTTATAATGTTTGAGAATATGTTGCAGGCTCGGAAGGCTGGAACCTCGATTTACATCAGCAGAGCAAAGAAAAGAAAACGTCAAGATAGAACATTTATAAAAGTTAGTGTGAGAAGTAAGTGGGTGGTGAATTTGTTAAGAACAATATAGAGAGTAAGGGTACAAGATAAGTACGAAAGTGGTAAATGCAGTGGCTGAAGAAGCGATGGACCCATCGTTGTTTGTCGCATACACTCCTCAAACAAACGGAGTTCCATCGGAGTCCAAGCTTGCTACCTACATGGTAACTCCTTCTTTTTTGCATTAATGGAAATAAAATTATCTCGGTATCGGATAATTATTTTGTATAAATCATCTTATACAGAATCACCAAAGTCCTGGCATAGGCTTGAGCACAAACTCAATGACCAAGCATTTGTCCAATCTTTCTCTGGACTCGCAAAAGAAGGTAACTGCCAGTCCCGAATTTGTGCCAGGAAGAGGCCTTACGGGCAGCAATAGTAGTTCGCCGAATCTCTTTAACAATTCCTACACTCATTCGCAAGAAAATGTAGGTGGCACGACATACTTCTATTTTGGGAATACCGGCAGTGACGCTGTCGGATCTGAGGATGGTACTGAGGCCGTAAGTCCAAGTCTTGGCTTGCTTTACTGCCTGTTTTACCTGCTTAACTGACAAGATATAACAAGAAGATTTTGCACTGTTCTTTTTTTAACTTTAATATTAGATTGGACCCGTAGCAACGGGACAGATTGGTTACGTCTATCCGGGCACACCTTCACATCTACAACCTGTGAAAACGGTAAAACCACCCTCTTCTAATAATTCCTCTGCTCCCTCCACCCCTCCCCCTCAGGCTACTCCCAGCTTCTTTGTCAGTGAAAACTTGCGACTGGACATCCTGCAAAAGAACGCATTGACATTGGCACAGCCCGATATCGTACGATTTCCTGACTTACCTAATGAGGTTGACAATTATCACGAACTCTGTCCTCTGGAGCCAATTCATAAACCTGCTTCGACGGTTCTTGGGTATCAAACTTCTACGTACAAGGCCACCAGTATCAAGACTGGCACGCGATACTGTTTACGTCGTATTCACGGTGAGTTTAAGTTTTGACTCGAGGGGATCCTACTAAATATCACAGAATATTATCAGTTTGGCATTTCATATTTTGCTCGTACTTGATGCTTACAGATTTTCGACTCGCGAACACCAAGTGTATGGTACTGGTTGACATGTGGAAGCGATTGTCACATACAAATCTAGTTCAGCTGAGAGAAGTTTTTACCACTAAGGCATTCGGTGATCATTGTTCGTATTTCATGATGTCTTTCATTTCTTTTTGTACATCACTTATGCATATCGCACTCCCGCCGAATTACTTTTTTTTCCAGCCATGGTTTTTGTATATGATTATCACCCTGCCTCGGAGACATTACTGAATAAACATTTTGCCTCAACTGAGCTTAACGGTTACACCGACCCGTTCTCGTCGGATCCCAATGCACCACGGCCTTATAGTCATACCAAGAACACTATTCTAAGACAGCAACATAGTAGCATGCTACCGGAAAGTGTTATTTGGAGTTACATCATTCAACTCACTGCCGCATTTCGTGTTATTCATGCCGCTGGTTAGTATTTCGTTGTCCTCATTTTATTGTCTGCCTTAAAGAACCATAAATATTTTATAACATGTAACTCCGTATCCACAAATCTTGAAATTTTTGTTTTATTTAATTCATCTTGTTGATTTAATTCTGTATTAACTTGACCTACGTTTTACAGGTTTGGCATACAGATGCTTAGATCCCACCAAGGTATTACTTACCTCACGGACGCGACTTCGTTTGAGTTGTGTCGCCATTCCAGACGTGGTCACTCTAGATGGAAACACTGCAAATCCACTTACCCTCATCCCACATTATCAGCAAGAAGATTTAGTAGCACTTGGCAAGCTGGTCTTAGCACTGGCATGTCGAAGTCTTATCGCCGTCCATCGCGACAATATGTCAGCCTCCATCGAGCTGATTACACGTTCCTACTCCACCGACCTTCGAAATCTTATTCTGTAAGTTTGTAACCCTGACAATGGATAATCTTAATTACTTGATTTAAAAATTATTAAGTGTAAAACTTTAGTAATCCACGAAAAGAATCTTCAATATACATATATCTCAAATTTATTATAGTTAGTATGAGTTTTGTTTATGCAAAAATGCTAATGTGTCGATGGACAGAGCAGAAGAAAATTCTGCTGGTTTCTAATTTCATTCCATGTAATCCAATCTACAGTGACAAATTAGAAATATTTTAAATATATGACACATTTTTAGGTACTTGCTGTCGAATCAATCCCGTAAGAGTGTCACGGATCTCATGCCAATGATTGGTGCAAGATTTTATACACAATTGGATGCCGCCCAGTTACGATTGGATGTTCTGGAGAACGAACTTGCCAAGGAACTAGAAAACGGACGATTATTTAAATTGCTGGTTAAGTTAGCAACCATCAACGAAAGGCCGGAGCTTAATATGGAACCTACGTGGGCAGAGACGGGCGATCGTTATATGCTCAAATTGTTTAGGGACTATGTATTTCATCAAGTCACAGCTGATGGAAGACCTTGGCTGGATCTTGCGCATGTTGTATCCTGCTTGAATAAACTCGATTCGGGTTCGCAGGACAAGGTAATGATTCTTAACACTTTCGGAATGTACGTACATGAAGTAATCTTAAAATGTACCATCACAGATATGCCTCATGTCTCGAGATGAGCAGAGTGTTCTAGTAGTAAGTTACGCAGAGCTACGGCAATGTCTGGAAACGTCATTTGGTGAACTGGTACAATCTACAAAAGATGCTGTTTAAGGATATGTCCTCAATAGCGCATACTCCGAACCATAAATGTGATATCATCACTTAGCGGTACTATCATTTTACTCTTTATCGCAACACTGGAGAGTGAGAACTGTCGAATTGTGTTTGGTGATATAAGAAATAACGCGCAACTCAGTTTTGTATACATAATTTTGATCGTCGAATTAATTAGGTACGAACGCATTACAAATGCGTTGCATTTAGGATGTAAGATGTTAAATTTTCGGGTCTTTAAATCTTAAGGATTAATAGAGTCCTTAAATCTTTTTGGGTTTTTGGATTTTCCAGTTTGGATCTTAGGATCTTTCGACATAGGAATTCTAATTTATGATGATATTTTTTTATTTAATCCCGGATTTCAAAGTGTGAAATTTTTTCTGAAATTCAGTTTAATCTTTAAATTCTTATGTCAAACGATCCTTGGATCTTTGGAGTTTTGATCTCTTGGAAGTGGCGAAGCGTGAGTTTCGAAGGGTATCATGTGATTTCGCGAATCAGCGAGGATTTGGATTCGCTATAAAGCCCATTACGGTACTATACAAAATTGTACACAACTTAACAATGCAGTAAACTCATAAGGAATCTTAAGACAACACCTAAACACGCTCGGTGTCTAGGATAGAGATCTTAGTTTTTAGGATACAGCATTAATGGTAAGCATTAATTTTGAAATAAATGTTTATTTTTGAAAGCAATCCTAACTAACGTTGTCATTATTTCTTCCTTATCACCAAAATAATTCTAGAATCCCGTCATTCCTTTTTACTCGTAATGTTTTTTTCACAATTTCAGATTTTTTATTTATGTTATAATAAACTGAATCATGAATAGTAATATTTCGAAATATTGTAGAAAGAAT